CCCACAGGCTATTTAGTCCCCCCCCCATAATGAACACAAGGTCTTGTCTTTTCCTTCTCCAGTGGTCATTCCAGTTCTCCCTTCCCTCCTCTCGGTGTTTTCCTGGGGGAGCACTGGCATCCATTAAACCTGGGCATCTTTTAATTCGCGCTGATTTGGGCTGATTTGGATTATTGCATCTATGGAGGTTTGTCGGCCAAGGAAAAATACTTAATAGAAGAAACTTAAAAAACCCCAAGGCAAATGTAGATGAGGAGAAAAAGTATAATCTAAGTTTGAGAGCTAGTGGGGCAAGTGTAAGATAAGGACAATGATTCTTAACTAATAATGTCTCCATGTTGTGATTTGGGAGCTGGTTGGTGGCCTGGTGGCCCAAAAGAGAAAGTTTGTTATACCTGTGAGGTTCATAAAAAAGACACTTGAGGTGCCTGAGAATTCCCAGGTTGATATTCTAGAAGATTCTAGGGTAGGCCGACTTCCTCATGCACAACCTGTACTCTCTGTGTCCTTACACCAGGAAGGGCTTGCAGAGAAGGAAGCAGCTCCAAGTTGTCCTTTGTCATTCCCTGTTAAATTCTCTGTTTCCCACAACTGTCTGGAGGAGTAGTGAACTGTTGTGTGGAAATGTGGTTAGTGAGGAAAGGGGCCCAGGAGCCAGCTAGCTCAGGACCTGAAGACCCCCAAGGATATTGAATATGAATTTAAATAAGAATCAAAGAACCTAGAAGGATTTTTTGTCCTGAAGTATATAGTCTGACTTTGTGTTGCAAGCTTGGATTACTTTTTAAATTTTATATTACAAAGAAAAAAAACATGATGGTCTTGATGCATGTTCGGAGTCTCTCGGTCTAGCAAGAAAGAGATGACGGTGGCTTAATGGTAAATTGCACCAGGAAAGAGGTGATGTGGATTTGATGTTAATCTCTATCTTTGAAGAGAAATACATGCTATGTAGTATAGCTTTTCCTTAAGTCATAGCATGATTGTCCACTTGGCATCTTGAAGTAGATACAGCTTTAGCCCGGTAGTCATGGCAACCAAGTAAATAGAGTAACACAGTGATAGATATGCCTACGGGGATGGCAATAGAGTTGTTAATCCTCTGGACCAAGTGGGCTCACAGTGCCCTCATCTGGAATCCCAGGGCTTCCTGCCTTTTGTCTCCCTCCACGGCTGCAGGATGACTTCTCAAAAGTGGCGTATGCATTAAGTGGAAGGTTAACTGAATATGGGATTCCAAGATGTAGCTTCCATGAGGTCCTCAACCACAATGGAGTGGGGCTTTTTGATATTGCTGCTTTTGAGTTACTCCTGCAATAATCCCTCGCCTACATTCTGCAGGTAAAGCCAGAAGCAACTCATCATTTGCTTTGTTGGGAATTTGGTAAAGTCCTTATTTAATGTGCTTCCTTTCCATCTGGGATGAATACATCCTTCTTCACACCCCCTAGTACAATTCAATGCCACAAGTGGACAGATGCAAACACATTAAAGTTGGAAGCAAAGGCCTTGATGACCAATTCAATGGGGAAGAGGTTTAGGATTTCTCACTGTAACGAGTCAAAATGACATAACTTTAGAAGAATCAAATGTCAGACGGAGTGGATCACTCAAATGTCAAGTCGGTGTGGCGTGTCTATCACTACCTGGCGTTTCTTGACCTTTGAGAGACAGATCTGTGGACAGGGTTTGTTTCGCTGAATTTTCACCAGATTATTCTCACTAAAAGGACTGATGCCTTTTTCAAAGGAAATCATGCCCCTGCCAAAGATATAGATCTATGAATATGATAAGCCGGAAATATCAAAGCCAAGTGTTTGCAGCATCACGTTATCTTCCTACAAATAACATCATCTGTCCTTTCGCCTGTGCTCACTAACATGCAAAAGAGTTGCTGTGTAGAAAAGGGAGTGGGAGTGTCAGACAGGGGGTTAACGTCAATCTGAGCTGACTTTTGCGTGACCCTACAGTTCCTTGTGGGCTTTTATCCCTCTGGAACTATGAGCCCAGATAAACTCTTCTTTTTTCTGTAAGTTGCTTTTGGTGAAGTGTTCTTCCACAACAATGAAATATAGCCAACTAATAAATAAAACATAACAAATTATTTCATCTATATCATGGGATCAGTTAGCAAAATTAATAAGCAGCCAAAGTGTGGCGCTAAGATGGGAGGTAACCATTGGAAACGGGGGCATCCCTACTAGAACATAAACAATCTGTAAAGATCCAAGGCTAGAACAAGGACATGTGCTCAGCTATGTTCATAGTAGCATTGTTTGTCATAGCCTGAACCTGGAAACAACCTAAATGTCCCTCGACCGAAGAATGGATAAGGAGAATGTGGTACATTTACACAATGGAGTACTACACATTGGAAAAAAATAACGACATCTTGAATTTTGCAGGAAAATATATGGAACTAGAAAACATCATTTTGACTGAGGTAACCCAGACCCAGAAAGACAAATATCATATGTACTCACTCATAAGTGGTTTTTAGACATAAAGCAAAGAAAACCAGCCTACAATTCACAATCCCAGAGAACCTAGACAACAATAAGGACCTAAGAGATACATACATGGATCTAATGTACAAAAGAAGTAGAAAAAAGACAAGATCTCCTGAGTAAATTGGGAGCATGGGGACCAGGGTTGAAAGGGAAGGGAGTGGAACAGAGAAATGTACAGCTCAATAAAATCAATAATACACACACACACACACGTGTGTGTGTGTCTGTGTGTGTGTGTAAATCCAAGGCTAAAATCCCCAGGCTCCCACTGTGTCTGCAGATCTTTCCGTCAGAACAAGGTGTTTCCTCTCAGCACACCTCCTGTTCCATGCAACAGGACACCTGATTGGACAGCAGGCAAAAGAAAAGGTGACAGTCTTCAGGGATTGTCATTCTTTGCCAGGACAGAGTTCTGCTAACAGTGTACATTTTAACAAGAGAAAACCAAAGCAAGTCGGCTACCCCTGCAGCACACAGCATGCCAGGGAAAAGCCTGTCTTTTAGGAGAGCTCTCTCACGCCACCCAGGGGCACAGGATGATCAGAGAAATCCTATTTTAACCACAAGAAACAATGAGTCCCAGGGTGACGAGACAAAAAAGCAAGGGGCTTCAGACTAGAGAGTAAAGCCAGCTGGATCCCACAGACAACCGCTGGGCTCGCATCTGGACAGATGAGCAGCTGTCTCCAGCCAGGGAAGCTCTGCATCTCTCTGAAGGGGTGCGTTAGAAAGACATTCTGTCTGTGCAGATCACCACCTGCCTCCCTGCTTGTCTGGCAGGCCCTTCTGAGCCCGCTTGCCCCATGCAGGCCGCGCATGATGGCATCCTTTTCCTAAAAGGGCCCGCGAGCCAGACACAGATGCTTGCCCCATGCGTCCTTTCCTAAAAGGGCCCGCGAGCCAGACACAGATGTTCTCCGTGTATCTTGTCAGGGGTCTCCACACAGCTTGATCCCCCACACTCAGAAGAGGAGCTGAGGAGAGGCTGAGTTATGGCTTTGTTCTAGGGTGCCCCCACCGAGGCTGGCAACCTGAGGGCTCCCTGCAGAAGGCAGTGTAAATGGGACTGAGCGGGGGAGCCAGTTTCCAGCTGGTTTTCAACTTTCAACCAGCTGAAGCCCGGACGGAGGGCTTCTCTCCACAGTCACTGTGCCCTCTGGCGGGCACAAGCTCTGAAGAGTTCATCTGTGCTTTCTCAGGAATCCCTGTCCCCAGACATTCTTGTTACCAGGTTCCTAGTTTTCTTTTTTTTCCAGCACCCGAACCAGCTGATTCGTTTAGAAACACTGTCCACCCGTCTGTGTTCTCCCCTACTTCAGGCATTCTCTCGTTCATGTGAGATGAACAATTTCATTCTAGTTGGAGGTCGTCAGCTCTAGGTGGCCTTTTGTGGCATTGTCAAAAAAAAAAAACAAAAAAACAAAAAAAAAACCACCCAAATTTCTAATCTTATGGAAACTGGTTCCCATGGGTTCCATTGTTGGTGTGTGACTAAGTCAGGCTGGGCAAGGAGGAGCCAAGAAACCATGGCTGTAGGAAACCTCTACAGAGAGATCTGAGCCATGGGCTGTCAGAGTGCCTGCCTCTGAAACCACCTATGAATATGAATGTGTGTGTGTATGCATGTATTGCTGTGCGTGTATGTATGTGTGCATGTTGTCTGTGTGTGTGCATTGTTCTACGTGGCTATGTGAATTTGTGTATATGTATTGTGTGGTCTGTGTGTGCATGTGCATATGTGTTGGGTGGTGTGTGTGCATGTGTGTGTGCCTGTGCTTTGTGTGAATGTGTGCATGTGTGTATTTGTATGTGTTTCTGTATGCATGTTTTGGTGTGTGCTCATCAGATTTGTGTTATTATACAAAATACAGGAGCCAGACCCTTAGTAAGAAGAGAGCTTTATTAGTCCTCGGATTGAGATGGCCAGTGGCTAAGTGTCTGCACGTGCTAACTCGATGGGGATACTGGAGGGTGGCATCCCATGGCTGGAGTGCGTAGGCTAAGAGCAAACTCTTTAGCAGTGACGTGGAGAAACACTAGAGACTGGGATTCCACAGGCGCAGTGTTCCCACCCACTATGCCTGGCTTCCCAGAAGACACCAGAGCCACGTCATCCAGCCACGCTGGAAGCACCACACTGAATGCCCTTCTTCCTTTCAAAGTCCTTAGGCAGCCTGTTTCCAACAAGTATGACGTAATTTGAGCGGTTCTTTAAGTAATCAGGGGGTTGATTCTCCAGCTAGGATCTGGAAGATGCCAAGATGAAGAGAAACGTGCAGGCAGGGGGCAAGACTCGTACAGAGCCTCGGCAGAAACGAGACAGCAAGTGACGACATGGATGGGTTGATGGAACATCTCTGCTGTCCTAGGGGTGTCCATGGAGTGCACACTGACTCGTATAGGCACTGGGTCTGGCTACTTAGGGAAGTGGAAGCCAGAGCTGGAGACTCAGGAAAGCACTACGTAAAGGAGAAACTGCTCGCTGGGGACTAAATTTTTACAACAATTATATATTAAAAGGTGGGAATCTCGGAACTGAAGCAGTTTGATTTAATAGGCCCGGATATTACACTCACAGAGAATTTGTTTAAACCTGCAGGTTGCTTTCTGGCCTCCTGCTTGGCCTTTGAGGGAGACAAAGAAGTACAAAGGCGCCATCTAGTGGACAAATAACGAGCTGTTAAAATAGTTACAGACTGAACAGCTTCCAGAGGAACTGTCCCTAACCCTCCTCCCACCCCTCAAAGAGGCTCTCTAATTGAAAGACTGTTCCTCAGCTGGTGGCTTCATGGTGGGATGTTCTGGGAATTTTATGAGGTGGGAACCACCTTGAAGAAGTAGGTCACTTCTTCCTGTCCTGCCATCTGGTTCCGGTCCACCATGCCACAGTGTTGGGGCCAAGCAACAGTAGATTGGACTCAAAAGCCATGAGCCCAAATAAATCTGCCCCCCCCCCCACAACCTTGTTAATGTTGAGCATGTGCCTCAGGGACCAGAAAAGAAGCCATACATAGTTTCAAAGAGTAACATTTTACAGGTGGAGACATAACAATACCGCAGTGGAATTCACGTTCTGTGACAGACTGAAGAGGCTTGTCCGCGACAATCAGCGCTAGCTCCAGGAGAGGGGGTTAGGGGAGACAGGGGGCACCACACAGATGTCCCGTCTCTCGGTGTTGGAGCAGTGAATCTTTTCGTTGTACATTTTGTAGCCCAGAGTGTGTTTATGCACGAATCACGGGCAGGTACTAAATATTCAGAATTAAGATATTGCACGTAGCTAAATACTGAAAAACTAAAATGTACACCTTTCTTAACTACTTTTTGGAGAAGACAGAAATCCCTCCTCTCCTTCACAACTGCATCCTCACATTGTTCTATGCGAAATACAAAATAAACGGGGAATCAAAGATGCTAGCCTTTGCTTGCTGATTGCGAAGCCGGGACAATGCTCGAGCCCAGTTCTGTTTTATTCTAACAAGCATTTTGGATCCGTTACTTTGATCTTTGGGCCTTGTTGTCTTTGCTTTGCCCTGCTTGGAACCATTTCTTCTTCACCCCACACTTAGCTTGTGCTGACTCTCTCTCCTCCTTCATCTCCTAGGACCCTTTGCATCCTACTTATTTCTGTCTGGGAGTGTATTTTGTACTATTTTCTTTGACTCATACTAAATAGACTCTGAGCTTCATGAAATGAATAATTTATTGACAATGCCTAAATCCCCAAAGCTCCACGAGACACGGTCACATACTTGTGCTCAATAGATGGTTGTCACTTTGCGCAGCTTGTATAGCTATTGAAAATGATGTCATCTCAGTTCAAACACTACGTTATTGCCCCATGCCTAGACAAAATCAGGAATACAGGGAGCTGTTTGAGGATGCTGAAGGCTACCCCCAAACCATGTTGGCTCCTAAATTACCTTTTACTGTACTACACACGGTTTTGACATTCATTTCTGCTGAACACATTCATTACTCAGCTCTCTGGCAGATCTCAGGGAGGCTTTGGCTTTCCCATCTTATCTCCATCAATCTGTTCTTTACCAAAATATTGCCAGTGGGAGCATAGGTTGTGCAGAGCTGCTTTCCAAGACAAGCACATCCAGATGAATCGTCAAGGTGCCAGCTCTTGGGGAACTGCTCCTCCTAAGCACAGCCCTATGGAAATTATGGGGTCTGCTTTCACACCGTCCACCGTGCCTGTCCAGACTAATTTGAGAAAATACAGAGAGAACATTGAAAAGGCCATGGGGGAACTCCCTCTGTCAAAACGCTTGCTGGGCGTACTTGAGAACTGGACTTTGATGCCCAGCATCTGCGGGAAGCCAGGCCAGCTGGCTTGGCACATGGGTAAATCGGTACAGATATTTGCCACTGAGTCTGAACACCGAATGCCCATCTCTGGATCTCACAGGGTGGAAGGAGAGAATTGGTTCATGAAGACTGCCAAAGATTGTCTGTAAACCTCTACATACACTTTATGATGTGTGCGTGTGCATGTGTGTGTTTTATCTGTGTGTGCACTTGTGTGTACACAAAGAGGGAGAGGGAAAAATTGAAGCTGGGCATGATGGCACGTGTTCTCAACGCCAGCTTTGGGAGGTAGAGACAGAAAGGACTCTGGACTTACTGGCTAGCTTGCTTAGCCTAATTAGGAAGCTCCAAATTCCTGTAAGACTCTGCCTCGAAATAACAGTGTGAATGCCTCATGAGGAAGAACGCAAAGGCTGATCTTTGCCCCGCCTCCACCCTGCCCCACACCTGCACTTACACGGACACACATGGAGACATATACACACTTAAAAATCTAACAAAGATTCTGTTTTGTTTTTTTTTTTTGTTTGTTTGTTTTTTCTTAAAACCCATCATTGAACTCTGTCAGCCTCCCTCAGTAGCCAGACCCAGTGCCCATACGGGTGAGTGTGCACTCCATGGACACCCCTAGGACAGCCAGGGATGTCCCATCATCTGTCCACGTTGTCACTTGCTCTCCTGTTTCTGCTGAGGCTCTGTACCAGTCTTGCCCCCTGCCTTCACCTCTCTCTTCATTTCGGCATCTTCCATATCCGATATAGGCAGAGAAGAGCAGGTTCCTATAAGTGGTCCTTGTGTGCTCTTGTCTGCATTCCTTCTGATTTGGATTTTGCAGTCATCAACCTTTATATGGTTTCTTGGCATTTCCCTCTGATCTCTTGGTGCCTGCTAGGGTTCGCATGGGAACTGTCTCCATTCGGGGGTGCCATCTGGGAAGGAGTGGGAACTTTCCAGATTGGGATGTCACCGGAAGAAGTAGATGAGTGGTACTGTTTCCTTAAAGGACCCGTCTTGTCCCCAGTACTTTCCTGTTCCTGTTTCCCTTTGCTTTCTGGCTACCATGAAGCACGCAACTCCTCTTCCAGGCTCCTGTTACCATATGTTTGCCTCACCTCAGCTAAAGCAATGGAGGCCGTCAAGCAGATCACAGGCTCAAACCTCTGGAAAGGTGGCAAGAGAAGCTTTTCCTCCCCTGACCGGCTTCAGGTACTTGTCGCAGAGACTAAAAGGCCAACAGGACCTCTGCTCGATACTTTCTTAGGATATCTGCTGTATTTTTATTTTAAAAAAATATCTCCCAGCTGCATTTGTTTCATTGAGTAGAGGATGGATGTGGAAACAATCTATGATTTTTGCAGATCAGGAGTTCTGAAAATAAATTTTCTTTCTGTATTTTCTTACATCCATCAAGCCCCTTCGGGTTGTTACAGTGGAGGATACAGCCTCCCAGTGTCCTCGTCACTGGGATCAAGCCCTCTCTTGTGGACTAATCTTCCGGGGCCACCAAATGATACCTATTGAACTCTTTCACACCGTTTGAGTTTTCTCTAAAATCCAGTCCACATACTTGGCCACGTTGGTGTAGACACCTGGCCTTTCCCTCTGGCCACAGCCTTCACCCCAGCTCGTGATGCCCACCAAGTGCCAGACCCCGTTGTGCTTACAGGACAGTGGCCCTCCAGAATCTCCCTGTGGAAGGCAAGAAGAGGAAACATGCACGGACCACTGCAGACACTTCTGCATATTAAATAAGCATTGTTCACAGCAATCTCTCTCTCTCTCTCTCTCTCTCTCTCTCTCTCTCTCTCTCTCTCTTTCTCTCCTTCCTTCCTTCCTTCCTTCCTTCCTTCCTTCCTTCCTTCCTTCCTTCCTTCCTTCCTTCCTTCCCTCCTTCCTTCCTACCTAAAGTTCTGGCCCTGTCGCAAGGATCTAAACATGCAATTGCTTACCTGCCTCCAGCTTTTCAATTTTAGGTATAGCCTCCCTAAAACCCACCCTGTGTCCTGCTGGTGATGATGGCTAGTCTGATCTGTCAAGCTCACACATCTGAGAAGAAGGAATTCCAGCTGAAGAGCTGCCACCATCAGATTGGCCTGTGGGCATGTCTTGATTGCTGACGGATAAATAAATGTTTATAATAGAAAAGTCGCTCAACATGAGTTTAGAAGTAAACCAGTAATTGTCACTCCTCCACAGTCTCTGCTGCAGTTCCTAACTCAGGGTGCTTCCCTCTACAGTGGCCTGTAGCCCGTGAGCGAAATAAACCCTTCCCTTCCCTGAGTTGGGTTTGGCCAGTGTTTCCTCACAGCAGCAGAAAGCAATCTAGGACAGTGCTGGAGGTAGGACTGTTTTTTAAGATGCAGTGAGCACTCACCTCCATCTAATGGAGATAGATGATTGCTTGGAACCCTCTTACCTTGCACGCGTCCTTCCCCCCTTCTTTGTAGCCGGCACAGATCATCTTGTTGGTTATTTTATGATTCCTGTATCTTGTCTGACATTCTTCATTTGACACCAACGGTATCTTGACTTTCTGGAGAGTATTTTGTACTTCACCTGAAAAAGGTCATTTTAGTGGAATAATATTGTATGTGTATATGCAATTATATTTAAAAGTCAAAATTTTACATAAAAATTACTACGCTTAATTAATTTTTATAATTATGGAGTATAAAGAAGACATTAGGTCCAATATTGTATATATCATCTTATTAATTTTATTAAGTTTAAAATTAGTTATGACACTAAGTAGAATTTCTTTTCATGCAAAATAATTAGGACCAAGCTAGATTTTTTTTTTAACGGAGAGTGTTAGTTCTTATACTAAAAGTATTCAGTTAAAATAGTCTTGAGAGAGGGCAATCATATTTAATATTTTTAATCAGATACATTTGTCTTTTTATTACTCTTCTTATAATTGCTTAGGGTTCCTTTAATCACATTTTGGTCATGTGACTAGAGAGAAAGCAAGGGCTATGGTTTAGCTCTGTTCCTGGATTTTGGGATAGAGCAGAGATAGATGAATTCTTTGTTACCTCTTAATCTGGCGTGCCCCCATCCAGTCACCCAGCACTCTGTGTATAGTACATTCTCATCGCCTTTGGGAGGTAGGCATATTGGCCGCTGAGAATCTAATCATGGAAATCATACGTTAGCTGTCAGAAGCCGATACCATTTGGATCTGAAGTGTCTCCCCAAAAGTCCATATTCCAAAAACTTCACTCCAGTCTGGGACACTGCTTGGAGAGGGTGGAAGGTGGACCCTCTAGATGGACAATAGGTCACGGAGGGTGTGCCCCTCCTAGGACCCCAGCCTCTTCCTTTCTCTCTTTCTGCTTCCCAACATCCATGAAATGAAGAGTTTGCTCCTCTCGTGTTCCTCATCAAAGGCTCCAGCAGAGCCCCCAACACAGGTGGGAGCCACTGACGTCATGAGAGCCCAGATTACCTTTCTTGCCTACAAGGTAGTTCCCCCAGGTATTTGATCAGTGATGAAAAGCTGGCTAGCCCAGATGCAAAACCAGCCATTCTCCCCAGAAAAGATGGCTGCTTTATTTGACATTATGTGTGCTTTTTCTATTTATGATATTCATGCTATCTTTTTCTCGTATATTTTTATGTCTTGTGTTCAGTGTTGAATATAAAATATCCCAAGTTGGGGCTGGAGAGATGGCTCAGTGGTTAAGAACACTGATTGCTCTTCCAGAGGACCTGGGTTCAACTCTCAGCATCTACATGGCAGCTCATGACTGTCTGTAACTCCAGTTCTGGAGGATCTGATGTCCTTGCCCAGACATACATGCAGCAAAACACTAATGCACATTAAAAAATAAATAATAATAACAATATAATAAAAGCATCCCAAGTGAGAGGGGCAAGGAAATAATAAGACATGCATCTTTATATAAGCTTTCCTTTTAACCAGGTTTAACATTCTGTGGCATTTGCTTAATCCTGTTGTCAAGTCGTTTGTCCCTAAAGCAGAATGTCAATCTATACTATTCTTATTATTTCTGTATTTTATAAAATGATGTCGTTCTGTGTCCCTGAAGAAGCCCGGAGACAAATCTCTTCACCTGAACTCTCAGAGTGTGATCTAGTATTCTAAGACAAGACCATCAGTCTCAACAGAGTGAAGTCATCTTTCCAGTCCTTTCTTGGTCTTGCTGTAGCATGGGCCTGACTGATGGGACTGTGATAGCCCCAACTCTAGGTTGCCTTTGTAGGTCACTTTCCACCAAAAGTTCTATATACCTGTGTAATTGATGGGTGATTCCAGTTTCAGCAGGGCAATATCATACCCGCTTTCTGCTGCCTTATATTGATCATGAATGATGATTTCTTGAACCCTGAAGAAAGCCGTATCTTCATTTATTTCTGATTGGTGTACAATGTCACCATAGACACGCAGGTGCTTAGACGCCTCTGTCCTAAAGAACAAACAACAGAGTGAAAATCAAAAGATCTCTCGGCAGCCAATTCCCAAACACCAGTGCTTCATGGGTATCTGTGCTCTGCGATCGCTTCCACCTTGAGGTGGACAAAAGGTGAGTTTATTCTAAAGCAAACTTAGTCAAGTATTTCCCCTACAAAGAAAGCCCTGGATAGTGTTTACTTTATATTGAACACATTAAACATAGGGTCTTTCCATCCTCCAGCTCATCCACAAGCTCAGGAAGAGCGGGGTTTTAGTCTTAACTTTGTCACTGACAGAAAAATAAAAACAAAACAAAAAAAACATGGACTTTCTGTGTTTCCTCATATGAGCCAAGGGACTGTTGACCCCAAGTGCAGCATTAAGTTATGAGTACATGTGTGCACAATGCAAAAAAGATATGAACAAGACCATATAAATCTGCTAAAACAACTGGGAGAACACTGAAAGCAGCCGAGAGTTTTGCTCAACCAGACTTCCTTGGGATGCACACAATGTTCCCGGCGGGAACATTCACATTTGGACAGTACTGAAAATAAAGTAAGGGCTCCAGCTTGACGATGTGGACGGAACTCTGTGTGTTTTGAGGCAGAGAAAGAGAAGAGAAGGGAAACACGACTCAAAGAGCAGGAAACTGTGAGCTTCAGTCTGGTCCTAGGCAGCAGGACCAGGAAAGGATGCAGAGCCTTTGGGAATCATTCACATCAATGGTCTGTTCCGGCACCGGCTCCAAGGCTGCCAGATGCGGAGTGGTTGACTCTTCCATGCAGCCAGCCCTCCCCACAGAGAGAATAAGTTTGGCAAGCAGGATCATCTATATTTTCAAAGTATTTATTTACTACTATGATGGTCCCAGATTTCCCCTACATCCAACGATGGCGTCCCAAGGAGGACAGCGGCAGTACTAACCCAGAGAAGCAGTGAGCGGCTGTCAGTATCCACTGGTTTCCGATCATGGAGCCTCCACACAGGTGTCTCTGGGTGGGTGAGGTGATGTGCAGGGCCACCTGCCATGGCCACTCACCGTGAACAGATGCACTTCCTCCGACAATCCTGGACTTGATTTTGGTTGTGCACACTATAACAGAAAAAGCATGGTGAGTGGTCACCTATGGCGTCATTGTTGTGGGTCCTTCTATGACTTGAGAAATCTCTAGGGAACCTCCCATCCCATAAGCAGGAAAGCAGCCTTTAGGTTAGTGAGTGAGCAGTAAGTAGGACACAGTACCAGTAACTCAATGAAGCCCTTCAGTAAAATTTACATCTGAATGTCTGTTCCATTAGTTTAAACAGGATGATCAAAGTATACAGTGCGCAACATTGCATTTGGGATTAGGAAACACGTCTTTTAGTAGCGTTGCTAGGTGTCTTTAGAAAGTCAAATTACATTGGAGACCAGCCGCAGTGTAAAGATGACAAACACCTCAGTGAGACGTGCCCTCTACATGAGGGTATTGTGTAGAGAACATTGCACAGTGCTACCTGCTTCTCTAATTTACACCTCAGAAGGCAGACTGAAAGGGCATACAGTTTTATTTGTCTCCAGGTTTTCTCCCCTCGCTATCAATCTGCAGCTGATATAGTCTGTCACTTCCACAGGCCAGAGTCTATAAATTCAACAGAGTAGAACCTAATGAAGGCAGAAGGGGGTGAAAAACAGAACCTTCAATTTATCAAGGTGTCATATCTGGAACTTGGTTTTTAAAGCATGCCCACATCACTTAACAGTATTTTGTAATCGTCCTATCTACCTCTAAGAAGTAGAATTAAGACGATACTTGGTTTAAATGTTCCTTCTTATTTGGTAAATTTATCATGAGGAAAATAGAGGATATATGAACTACAACTTCATTCACTTCCTTAAGAGTCTTGGGTCACCTCTGAATTCTAGGAAGGCGTGTTTTCCAGTTAGGACGTTAGAACATCTGAGTGTGCTATAAATAGTTGAGCATTGAGTCACCTTCCAGCACAGCCAATGATGTGACACAAAAGTTTGTACTCCTAAAACTGTCACAAGGAGGGAGCAGCGTTGCGTTTTGTTCATGAAACCAGTTACATCACAATTTACATGGCATCATAACACTGGGCATTAAGCAATACATATGATCTTTATTTATGCTTCACTGAAGGATCAAGTGGAAAGAGAATGAATGATTTAATTAATGTACAATTAATGTACTGGTTGAGCGCTTAATTAATGAGAATTAAAACAAAGCAAAATTCTTTTGGTTTTGAAAATAAAAATTAGCCCTTTGGGTCTGTCTCTTCAGGAAATTCTTCTTGGAATGACTAAAAAGTATATTTATATCTATATAGATGTACCTAGATAGATATAGATATAACATATATATTCAATTCATCAGTTCATGTAAGATTTAATGAAGAATTTATTAATATGCTTAAAACATAGGAAGGTGGGCAAAAAGAAGCTAGAACAAAGGAAAATTTCTAAATTTGTTAACTTCCAAATTATCTCTCTTCTGTGACTCTTTTTGTTGTCCTTTTAAATACAGGATCTTCTTATCTAATCCAACCTGGCCTCAAACTCCTGATCCACCCCCCCCCCCACCCGCCTCCTGAATGCTGGGAATATAGGCCTGGGCCACTGTTTCCACCCCTCTGTGGTTGTGTGCTAGCTCTGTGTCGACTCATTCAGTTGAATATTTCCCTTCCGTTGTACTGTTTTTAAATTCTTACCGTTATCCATTTTGCACAGCCTCAAAGTGTATCCAGAGATGCCTCCCCTCCCATGAAGTATTCTAGTTGGAGATCCATTTGAAGACAGTTTTAGGGAGCACCTGCCCCTATGGTTGAAAACATAGAGTATAAGCATAATACGTTCTACAAAGCGGTGCCCCCAACACACCCACCTGACTCGTGCCTTACCTCCCTTCATTGCCAGATCCTCGAAAGGGGGAATAGGTAAAAAACTGGCAGCGGACAGCATTGGTGCACGATTTCTGGCAGGTTTCGTGGCCTTTCACTTCAACATTATCCAATTCTTCTCCCAAGAAATCAGTGTCGTTGTAGAAGGACGGATGGCAGAATACTGGACAACAAAGCACAAGGCAGGTTTGAAACACGTGGCCTTCGCGTTTATTCTTCTCCTCGGGACCTTTGAGAAGGACGCTCACTGTTTACCTGGGGTGCTGTGCTTGCAATGCTGGAGACTGAAGCCAGAAAGCGCATTGCTCTTTGTGATGCGCGAGCTTGGTAATCCACTTTCAGATGTTTTGAGGAGGCAAAGATGTCTACGGAATAAAAGGGGGACGTATAAAGAAATCCTGAGACATCGTGCAAAACATACTCAAGAGAAAGATCACTGTTACAGCGTGTGTGAAAAGTCAAGTCAGCTCATAGCATTTAATAGCAACCGCGTCCCTACCACCTCTCTTGAAACACTGAATTACATTCCGTAAACTGTATGTCACTGAGAACTTATCAAAGCATCTTGGAATTTGCCCTATTGTGAGTGTTCTTGGAGTCTTCCCCGCCTCCTGGTGTTGTCCCTTCCAACAGGTCCAGCCTATCTCAAAGGGCCTGCTGCTTGGAGATCTCCTATCTTGTTTGTGGAGCACATTTTTATTGCCCTGTTTAAAAGAGAACAAAAGTCACTCTTAATGGCGACTTCTTACCTTAGAGATTCTCTCGGCCACTCTTGGGAAAAGAATGTAAAAAACAAACAGGTGGGGTGATGCGTACAAATGCGTCGACAGACAAAGGCATCTGGGGCCTGCACTCTGTCAACATTGAGGTCCGCAAGTGCCGTGTTCGGGAAAATGTCCCTAATGCAAGCTGTGCGACAGAAGAAGAAGCTGTGTTAGGATGTCAGGGGGTGGGCAACGTCCTAGACACTCCAGACAGCGGTTGTTCATTTTACTAAAAAGAGAAAGTTCTAGTCCATCGCCTTAACCACTCGGCCACGACTACTGGCCCGGGTTAAAACCGGTCTCGCTGAACATAGTGGACAATGAGGACTACTGAGACCTCAAGAACAATGGCAATGGGTTTTTGATCCTACTGTACCTATTGGTTTCGTGGGAGCCTAGGCAGTTTCGTGGATGCTCACCTTACTAGACCTGGATGGAGGTGGGTGGTCCTTGGACTTCCCACAGGGCAGGGAACCCTGATTGCTCTTTGGGCTGATGAGGGAGGGGGACTTGATTGGGGGAGGAGGAGGGAAAGGGGAGGCGGCAGTGAGGAAGAGACAGAAATCTTTAATAAATAAATTAATTAAAAAAAGAGAAAGTTCTTCCAAAGATCTTTACCTTTTCATTTATTAAAAATAAGCAGATTATTAGTGGAAATTGAAGAGGAAATCCTTCCCAGGACATAATGAACCACATCACATGAAGACAGTGAAAGGTGATTGGGTCGGCTTCAGCAGGGAGCATCAACTGTTTTCAAAGTTTGACCTATTGCACACACCCTCAACATTCTGCAGGCTTAATGTGCAAACACCTCATAGAGAAAACAATAGTTACCCGCGTTAGACAGTCCACAGGACTTCAGTGAAAATCCCGATACCACGTGATTGAGCTTTGTTATTCTGGTTGGTGTCCCCGTTTGGGTGTACTTCAAAAGACAAGTTTTGCTACATAGAACAAAAAGGAAAAATATTATTCTTTCTGAGTCTATAAAAGCACAAGAGGATAAGAAATTATCATCTGCAGGGAGGAAATAGCTGTAATAACAAAGGAATTGCTCCGAGGAGTGTTCACCTGCAGGGCTAGTTGAGTTCTGGCAGTTCCTCTCACCACAGGGTGGCCCTGTGGACTCAGGGACAATGTCATCTCTTCCATGACACCCTGAGAGACCTGATGTGGTGTGAGGGGTGGGGTGTGAAAATGGGTCATTTCTCTAGACCTTTGCAACCTAGCCCTCTAAGTGAGCTTCTTTGGAAGCCCTAGGAACATTTTCCTCACCTGCAGTTCACGTTCTATTAAGTCTAAGACATAAAAACTGTCCTCTGAGGGGAAGTACAGAGAACCACAGAAGGCTGTTTTCCATGTTTTATTACTGATTTTTGAATATATCTTTAATGCTTTGCTTCCTTTCATTTCTTTTTCAAAATTGTAGAAAGGAGATTATAAATAGAAAGTGTTAAAACCCCAACTATAAAATAATAACGTTAATTGTGCAAATCTGGATTGTGACAAAGAGTCCTAAATCGAAAAATGAATCTTGGGAATTGGAGGATGGCTCTTCTGAACTCTAGTTACCCATACACACGTGCATCTATATACACAGCACCTACACACACACATACATGCAATGTTAAAAGAACAAATCATATAATTTTAATAAAATTTAAAAGCTAAACATGCAGAGTTAGGTCACGTTTATATTATTGGGCAATAGATTTCTTCCTGCAAGATTTCAAGACCCCACAAGAAACAGTATAAAACTTTGTCCATGGGCTTCAATTGCTTCATCGTAGGGAAGGAACAGAGCTGTATAGCCAGCTAGATGGATAAATAGATTTTATTTCCAATTCTTTAGTTCAGGGCTGCTATGTTTGTTAGACTGGGAAGAGCGCTGCCAATCAATCGACTCACAGCTCTCTCTGAACTACAAATGTAAAAATGTGTTTTTGAAATTAGTTCGAATATAGGGTAAGCATATGTATGCTTTACAGAAGTGCTGTTGAAACACAGAGTCTGTGAGTCTGCACTACATGTATTGTGTATGGTGTGTCTGTGTGGTATGTGGGTATGCAAGCGTGAATGGGAAGTCTAGAGAAGGACTTTAATGAGAGACAGAATTCATTAAACCCAGCACTGGCCAGAGAGCCCCAATAATCCTCTTATCTCTGCCCCCTCACTCTATACCCAGACCCCAAGCACTGGGGTTAAATGCAAGCACAATTGCATCTGGCTTTTATCTGGACACTGGGATCCAGACCCGGTCCTCATCCTTGCACAGATAGAGCGTTTACACATAGAATCATCTTCCAGCCCTGAAACACAAAATCTTGATTATGAATTAATGCTTATTAGACATTTAATGAGCTTTTCATGACAAAGCAGTGATTGCTATTATGCAAATGTCTCGGGGGGGGGAGCTATGAAAATGTAGGCTTCAATCTGATGAAAATAACTAAGGAGCCTGTGGTTTTCTTGCTCCTGGCACTCCTCTGCCCCGGAGCTCAGACACCTATCCACTCACCGATGCTCCACACTGGGAAAACGCCCTGTTGCGTATGTGAAAAAGTGGCAATGGGCATCGTTGGTGCACCTCTCTTGGCACTCCTGAGCGTTCTTCACGACCGAGGTGTTGTAGTTCATGCCCTTCATGTCTAGGTCCTCATACACATCTTTGCTGCAAGCTGGAAATGAAGGCAGGAACGTGAGCGGCGACGGAACCCGGGGGCAGCGACAGCAGTGCTGCCCCCCCCCCTCCGCAATGGCCCCCTAGACTCAGACCTTTCCTTTCTCGCCCACTTTTCCCAGCGAAATCCCTTGTTTTGCTTCACTCTGTGTAATTCCTACTTCCACTTGGAGCTGTTTTGAGGAAGCTTCTTATACAGGAACAACTTTAAGCTTGGAAATCTGCATTTTGTCTCTCTGACCTAGTGCCTAAACTGTACCAACTAATCGATTCACTCGTTAATTTATACGAAGATATGCATTTCATTATTAAGATATGTGCCCAATTCAGTCTTTGGGATTTCTTTTCCTTTTGATTTGAATTAGTATCTATAATCAGGGCTTTTTGTGTACAATTTCATGCAGGGAGGAAGAAGTAAATAAGAACTAAGAACTGAGGTGCCGACCCTACTTTATGAATTCAGAGGTGCTCATGACTGAGAGTGTGCGTTTGTCGGGGGATACAGATACCCACATGCTCTACTCTGTGTAAGAAGGTCGTTCCTTAGTGAGGAAGCTTAATTCTGGATGGTAGTGTTTTATTCTACGCCACAAAGCTATATCGGAAGCAATTCCGTGTATCAACTAATAATGGCTAGTATTTATGACATTTGCTAAGAAATCGTACCACTTAATTGCTGAGGGCACTGCTTGAACGAGTATCCAGAAACTGCTCCTGTCATGTTTACCGTTGGCAGTGTTTCTGTGACGCTGTCCTTTAGGATGCAAGCAAACCTGTTCTTTGGGAAAAGAGAACATTCCTCAGTGGGAATTCATGTTTTGGAAGAGTGGATCCTGAGGTCAAAGAAAAGGAAACAAACCACTGGGTCTCGGGCCAAAGCAAATGTTTACTTAACAAGATTCTGACTTTGTTTTAATTTCAACATCCCTACACTTAAAAGAACGCATAAGATCCTCCTCTCCAACAGGACACGGACAGGAGCAGTGGACTCTGAACTATTGCTAAACTGTCATTAAAAATCTACCAGTGTTATCTGGTCAGTGAGCTAGAATGCTTTTCTGTTTTACAGGGCTACATGTTATAAAGACTCTTCTCTCTCTCTTTCTCTCTCTTCCTCTCTCTGACTATGCATGCGTGCGTGTGCGTGTGACATGCATAAGGAAGCCAGCAGAGGGCAGTGGAACACTTGGAGCTGGCGTTACAAATGATTGCAAACCTCTGCAAGTGGATGCTGGGGACAAACCTTGGGTCCTCTAGAACAGCAGCCAGTGATCTTAACCACTGAGCTGCCTCTCTAGCCCCTGCATGATTACATTTTTTTATGGTGTTAGAAATACAGAATGTTCTTCTATCTGCAACTGGTCCATCAGAACCAAAAGTTTTATGCCTGGCCTTGTTCATACTAAGAGGCTTGCGAATCTCTGTTCTAGCTTTCAAAAAAAAAAAAAAAAATTCATGTTTATGGTATGATGTAGTAATCTGTGAATCCAGCAAGAACAAACAAAGATAGTGTCAACTTAGTTGTTTTCATAAAAGGTTACATATTAAATTTCAAGTTTAGCATGAAGACAGAAATGGATGGAATGCCCAAGATTTTAAAAATATGGATAGGGAGTCAAAACAGTCATAGGAAACCTATGAAATATTATTAGAATTTAATTAGCTGCTATAGATAATATTTGAAATGTGTAATGGTGTAAGATAACATTGTTAAGTTTTTTTTTTTTTCGGTTTTTCGAGACAGGGTTTCTCTGTGGTTTTGGAGCCTGTCCTGGAACTAGCTCTTGTAGACCAGGCTGGTCTCGAACTCACAGAGATCCGCCTGCCTCTGCCTCCCAAGTGCTGGGATTAAAGGCGTGTGCCACCACCGC